AGTTAATGTTTATACAATAATGCTTGGATTGTGATCCTAGTTACTAGTGTCTAGTAAAGGGAATTTAAGGTGCAATCCACCATTTAATTAATAGTGGGGTACGCAATAGACTTACCTCCACGTGGTGCACTCAGGGCAACGTATACTTATTCGGGAAAAGTCTATTGATCGGCAATTGACTTTTGACTTCAAACTTCTATGGCCCGACTATTTGTCATATTGGACCGTCACAGTACTCATCTTACCTTTTTATGCCTTTGTGTCTGTCTGTTTATCCCTTTTACCTCTGTGAATCATTATTCTGCCTCACATCCCGCCTTTTTGTCACTTTGATGTTCCTTCTCCTCTATATGAACCCCCGAAGTCAGCTCCAGGAATAATGATAACTATCAAAATGCCTGCCATTTGATATAAATAAATATTAATAGAAAGTGTTTCACATGTAAGATGTAATTGAAATCCATCAGGGAGGTTAAAATCAACTTCAAGACATCTAAAGCGCCTCACTTCAGTTAATTTTTTAGTTCTAGTTGAATCACATTCACCGAAATTCATATTTCAATCCCGAATTGCAGCGAACGGTTGTTTCCTGCATTTACTGTTTATCGATCGTAAGTAACAACTAGATTCACTAATTTCTAAATTACTTTTCTCCTACAATGGTAATGAATGCAAAGCAATCTAACATGATATTTGGCAGCATACTGTCCTAAAATGTTATTATTAATCTAATAAGGCACATACTTTTCTTTTTTTAACTGTTGTAAATGGTAAAACGCATTTTCGAAGCATTTTATGTCAGAAAAATATCTTATCTTCAAGCAAAAGTAGAACTGATCAGCCTTTATCACCAGTGACATTTGTTGTGTAGGTAAATAAATCCACTGCAAGTGTCTATAGATTTCCATTATCCCTAATTGCAGCAGACAAATCTTCGATTTGAGGGGGAGAGTGGTTTTCTCTCTGTCTATAATGGATTTGTGTCAGCCAATTGTGATAAGGCTATTTAAAGCTCCCTTACAAAGAAAAAAACACGTAATCATTTAATTTCTAGGCGTATATTGCATGCTTCTAATGAACTGTTTTAATATTTGATGAAAATGTTATGAATTTAATTTTTTAAAAAATCTTGAAGCTCATTGAAAAAAAATAGCATAAATATTGTGAAAATTGGGTTTGAATTTCCCCAATAATACCATGAAATGCAGCACAATTTGGGTTATAATTGAAATTGATTTCTGCATTGAACGATTGCACAATGTGGTATGGATTCCCCATTTCCTCTTTCTCTCCGTCATCTCATTTGTTCACCCGCATATTTGAAATTGAAAAAATATGATAAAATTTGATTCAGCAAACGTGCCCACTCTCTAATTAGGATCAATAATTAATTCTATTATTGAATCATTAAGCTTTCTAAATCCATTAAAAACCGATCTTTGAGGAATCACTACATATTGCTTAAATGCGGGGTGTGCGATAGACTTACCTCTACGTGTTGCACCCTGGGCAACGTATTCTCATACGGTAAAAATGTCTATTAACCGGCAGTGGACTTCTGACTTCAAACTACTATGACCCGACTGTTTGTCATATTCGACCCCTTCCAAAGTACTTATCTTACCTTTTCTCTGTCCTTGTGTCTATCTGTCCCTTTTACATCTGTGAATCACTCTTCTGTTCCCCCTCCCCACTTTTTGTCACTTTGATGTTCCTCCTCCTCACTGTGTAGCCCCAAAGTCAGCTATAAATAAATACATATTGCTTAAATGCTAAATTTGCGTAGAGATTTGTCAATGTAAAGTTATTTCCCTTCTAACAAGATACAAATACATTAGACGATAAGCACATTTTCGTCGTAAGAATATTCTTTTTTCTACGTTTGAGCGCATGCGCTAATAAGTGCTTTGTAACTTTCTAACTCAATTATCCATTGACTTAATTATATATTTGCCAGAGATAAGGAAAACTCACCCAATTCAAGGACACTGACGGCAAAAATAAACCCAAATAAGTGTATCAAAAATATATTTGATTTTTTTCAATAAGACGAAAAATACAAATGAATTTATTTCATTGTTGTCAATTTATTTCGGGCCAGTCTGGTTAGATTACGTCGACGAACAATTACGCTGCATGTGGGACATCGTCGATTACCCTGAAACGAACAAAAATACAATTTAAGCACAAAAGATGCTAAACACGTTTGAGAAGGCATTTTAGATACGCCATTCCATTTAAAAGTGCAAAATAATAAATAAAATGAAATTCGAGCCTGTGAAGAAGGAGTTTAAAACAAAATACTCCAAAAAAAATAAAAGGAAGCAGAAGCCGAGATTGTCCATATGCCTGAGCGAAGATCACAGGAAAAATTGATGTTCTCTATACTGGGCTTATTGATTATTGACTCAGTAAGCTCAGACCTTGTCAACCAATTCACCTTGTTGCACTTCCTATAAACATGGTACACAGTAAACGGCAGTAAGAAATTCAAACTGGTAGGAATTGGCGAACCACGACAACAAAGGACCACATGTGGGATCTGGAGCTTATCTGTGCAAGAGAACTAGGACTCTTCCCAACTTGAACTAGGAGAGAAATGGAAGCAAATCAATGCAAAAGATTGTGGAATGGACGCAAAAGGAACAGAGTAAATGGGCAATCATGGGCAAGCGTTTTATTTATATATAATGGCAGGCGTTTTGAAAGTTATCATTAGCCCTTTAGTTGACTTCGGGCTTCAAAGAGGGGAAGGAACATCAAAGTGAAAAATGTAAAGAGGGAGGGGGCAGAACAGAAGAATGTTTCAAAGATGTAAAAGAGACAGATACAAAGGTAGAAAATAGTGGGGTGAGTACTGTGGAAGTAGTCGAATATGACATACAGTGGAGTGATAGTAGTTAGAAGTGAGAAGCCGACTGCTGGTTTATAGACTTTTTGCCCTATGAGTATACGTTGCCCAGGGTGCAACACGTGGAGGTAAGTCCATCGCACACCCCTTGTGGGTAGAATACTTTTCAAATTGGATGTAAAACAGCCACAGAGACAGATATCCATTGTATTTGTATATTGTTTAAACCGAAATTTCCAAGTGGACCGCGCACGATCTCTGTTATGTGACTCAAGTCTAATGAATAATGTTTAGGTTAACAAAAAAATTGAAGTATTTCCGCAAAATCGTGATTGGACTTAAAACGTGACATAACGCAACTATTTTGCTTCCCGTATTCTAGCGTCGAATTTAGATTAAATATCAATTTAGCGGAGTTATTTCAGCAGGCAATCACTTCATATCAATTTAAAGTCAACAACTATGTGCTAACACATTCAGACACCATGTTTGACAGCCCACCAACTAAACTCACATTTTCACATCTCTGTGCTTCCTGCTGTTTGCGAATGCAGAAGCATTAATTCGTAAGCAATGCCTTTTCTTAATATAGCTTAAGCATTTGACATGAATCTCAGACATGGAAATTTTGATAACATCACAAAAAAAACAACACAAGTGAAGACCACATTGCCATGTAGGCATCTTTCAAAGTGCTTTCATAGAATAAGCAGTTATTTTACAATCACCAACAATACTCAGTAACTAAGACGCACAATTTGCGGTCATTTAAGGATTTTAAAAGAAAAAAAAGTAGGAGAAATCATCTTCAATTTCGAAAACAAACCTAGACAATTACCACTAAGTCAAAAATAAGTAAGTAGATAAAGTAAGTTTCATGATCTGTTCAAACACCCCATGTGTATGGTGCATTTGTTGACTCACAGCCCAATTGTCAATTGGTGACCAATAATTGGTTGCCCATTCCATAATCGCACAATGACACACAAGGGGTAAAGCATTTAGTCAAGAGTAAAGACTATTGACCTTGCTCAATATTGATGCCTAAATCCCCCACCCCCTTCATTCCTTTGACCTATTCTACAAATTGATTTCCTTCAATTCAGCTCTTCTCTTTTGCAAACAATTATTGCCCCTCGGTAGCCTTAGGAGGGGTACGTCTGAACTCATTTAGAGGAGACTCTAAAGTAGACTTTCTGACCGAACAAGAGCCACTGCAGTTGAGTCTTTTTTTATAATTAGTTATGTTTAGGGTGAGGGGTGTGCGATAGACTTACCTCCTCGTGGTGCACCCTGGGAAACGTATACTCATACGGCAAAAAAGTCTATTAACCGGCAGTTGACTTCTGACTTCAAACTACCGTGACCCCACTCTATGTCATGTTCGACTACTTCCACAGTACTCACCTCACCTCTTTCTACCTTTGTGTCTGCCTATTTTACATCTTTGAAACACTCTTCTGTCTTTTTCACCTTGATGTTCCTTCCTCTCTGTGAGACCTGAAGTCAACCAAAGGGCTAATGATAGTTATTATTAAAACGCCTGCCATTTGATATAAATAAATAAATAAATGTTTAGGGTGAGCGATAGACTTACCTCCACGTGGTTTACCCTGGGCAACGTATACTCATAGGGAAAAAAAGTCTATAAGCCAGCAGTTGACTTCTGACTTCAAACTACCATCACACCAATGTGTTTCATATTCGACTACTTCCACAGTACTCACCTCACTCTTTTTCTACATTTTCTTCCTTCGTCTTTGAAACACTCTTCTGTTCCCCCCACCGTCTCAACTTTTTTTCACTTTGATGTTTCTCCTCGACTCTGTGAAGTCCGGAGTCAGCTAAAGGGCCAATGGTAACCATCAAAACGCCTGCCATTTGATATAAACAAATAAATATTTTCCTGCTTTCACAAACTCCGTGGTAACCTTCAAATTTCCAGGCTCGAAAGCCGGCGCGCTCGGACCTCTTAAAACTTTTATCCACCGCACATAATTTGTTGATAATTTACGGAGGACCGGGAGGGGAGGGAGAGAGGTGAGGATTTTATTTTACTCATAAACACTCAATTGTGCGTTATAATAAAGCGATAAAATGGCGGCAACAAAACCAATTGGCCAAATATGAAGTAATTACCTCCTCAATAATGCCTCTCCAGCATGGAAAACAGCAGATATGGCCACAATCGGAGCGTAGAGCGTCCTCAATTGCCAATTTCTTGCAATTCGCGCAGGTTCTTGTGGATCGTGCTACAATAGGAAACGTAATTCTATAAAGAAAATGGTAAATCGGAAATCATGACCTGCCGATGCGATGAGTTAAAGTTATCCATTGCGCTAAAGAACGCCGACTCTGCAGTAGAAATTAGTAAATGCAAATAACACTATTGCAAAATAAGCTTGCAACTTCATCATCTAGAGAAGAAGTAGTAGGCTTTGGCCATTTAGACTCGCCTCTCACCTCCAAATTCAAATAAAGCAGGAGATACGATGATAATTAAAAGATTCAGCATGCTAGAGAATTGCAGCATTTGCTTGCCTATGTTTCGTGTGATTATCGGAGGCGAAAGTCAATGTGGGAGGATAAATTGAATTCCCCGGTAAATGTCCACAATTAACGAAATTAAAGGCATGTGTGTGTGTCCCAAAAGGAATAGGCAACCTCCCCCCCCCCTCTTCGTAAACATCAAACATTCATGGACTGACAAATCAAAACCCACTCAATTCGAGATCCACCAATCATCCTTCACAACCGATCTGAAGAATTTGGGTAGGGATTAATAATTAATCCCCGATTTGAAATACAATAATATATATATATATATATATATTATCTTAAAGAATAATTCTTGAACGAACTGTAAGGCTTCTACAATCCAGCACATACCTGGTCTTTAATGTGAAAAAATTCACCATTTCAAAAAGTTAAGTAATGAAAATGAATTAATTATTTAAAATTCAGCTTGAATGAGCACAGTTCGGTGAGGTGTGCTAAGGCAAAAATAGTGGGTATTAAACCTCCACAACGACGCATTACAATTACCAATATATGGTCCACTTTTGGCAACAGACAACTTAGTCCTTAAAGTAAAGCTTGATACTATAGGAGAATTCAAATCTTCGTTCCAGAAAAGAAAGCGTGTAATTAGTAGTCAATCGTCTTGGAAACTATTCTCCAATAGGAATCCACTCTTCAAGCAATCTTAAAATTATTAGTATTTAAAATGGCAGGCTTTATGATATTTATCATTAGCCCTTAAAATTTGACTTCAGCTTCCCCCAAGGGTGGGGGGTACATTTATAGCAGTTAATTAATAGCAGTTCATTAGCTGTCTTCTTGCTCCCAAGTATCTCTGGCTTTCCCTCCTTGTCTTTAGAGCTGGACATCGAATCAGGTGGGTCTTCTCCATTTCCTCCTGTAGGTTACATAGGGGGCATGTGGGTTGGGTGTATACTCCCAATCTCTGAAGATGTTTCGCCAAGCAATTTGTATACTCCCAATCTTTGAAGGTGTTTTGCCAGGCAATCCGTCCGGTACGTAGTCGAAACTCAGCAACGGCTTCGATTCTTGGTCAGTCGGAGAGTACCACTGCTCATTGTTTTTTCGATTCTTAGCCAGTCGGCTATTTCGGAGAGTGCCACTGTCCACTATTTCTCCCTTGTTCGAGCTTTGAGTTCGTTGCACCTTGAGGTCTTGAATTCTCTTCCAGTCGGCTATGTCGGAGAGTGCCACTGTTTCTCCTTTGTTCGAGCTTTAATTTCGTTGCACATTGAGGTCGGTCTCTCCTATAAGTTCGTTGTACCTTGAGGTCTTGAATTCTCTCCTGATAAAGGTCTACATTGTGTGGAAAGACAACGGCCGGGCCATGCATTGCAAAATTGTTGTCCCCTTCTTAGCAAGTGTGTCAGGAATCTCATTGCCTTTAATGCCACAGTGACCAGGAATCCATTAAGATCATTGCCTTTAATGCCACAGTGACCAGGAATTCATTGTAGAACATTACCTTTGATCACCGTTGATCAGGAATCCATTGTAGGACCACTGTTTTGTTTTTCTGTCTCAACCAGGAATCCATTGTAGGACCACTGTTTTGTTTTTCTCTTCAGGAATCCATTGTAGGACCACTGTTTTGTTTTCTCTCTCAAGAATCTCATTGCCTTTAATGCCACAGTGACCAGGAATCCATGGTAGAACCACTGTTTTGTTTTTCTCTCTCAGCAGCTGATAAATCTCATTGCCTTTAATGCCACAGTGACCAGGAATCCATTAAGATCATTGCCTTTAATGCCACAGTGACCAGGAATTCATTGTAGAACTTACCTTTGATGACCGTTGATCAGGAATCCATTGTAGGACCACTGTTTTGTTTTTCTAACTGACCAGGAATTCATTGTAGGACCACTGTTTTGTTATTTTCTCTCTCAGTATAGAGTTTTCTACATTCCTTTATCTCAGCTGTTTTGGGTCTCTCTGTTTCTAGAGTTTTCTACATTCCTTTATCTCAGCTGTTTTGAGTAGAGTTTTCTACATTCCTTTATCTCAGCTGTTTTGGGTGTTTCAGTTTTCTACATTCCTTTATCTCAGCTGTTTTGGATGGCTATCTTTTTCTACATTCCTTTATCTCAGCTGTTTTGGGTGGCTTTTTGTTTCCAAGTGAAGTTATTTCTGACTGCGAGTCCAAAAGAATTACTGCTTTGGTGAAGTTCGTATCCAGGCAGCACAATTGGCCCAGTGCTATCTTAATAGCCTCCATTTCTCCTCCGAATGAGGATCTATTGTGTCCCACCGGTGCGAAGAAATAGAATAGTTCAGAGTAAACACCTGCACCAACGTTCGCTTAGTTTTCTATGTATGACC